GTGTGTGTGTGTGTGTGTGTGTGTGTGTGTGTGTGTGTGTGTGTGTGGATTCACCGCTGTTGGGAGCCCAAATCTGCAAAAAGCTGCAAAAAAGCAAAGACACTCGGAACATAAATAATACAAAAATCTCTGTAAATAAATGTTCTCATGGGGGAAAACGTAGCTTACACACTGGACATTTTATGCTTATTGAAGATGGACAATTCACCCTGGGCAGTTTAAGGGATCAGCTAAGCTGCCGACGATGCTACCAGTGCCTGTTAACGTTCAAGTCATTGAGGCTTGAGACAACCAGACATGCCTAAAGTCAACATGGCCAGCAGTGAGACACTTACTGGATAGGGATCTCAGAGGAGGATGCTTTTTGTTTTTGTTTGTTTGTCTCCATGTAATCTTGCCTCTCAATGTATACCTATTCAGTATAAGGAGGTTGAAGATTGTATTTATTAAAGTTTCTGAGGATACTGAAATGCTTATATGCATCATGAGACACTGTCAAACTGCAGTATCTTTTTTTTCATAATGGTTTATCTCAAAGTGGTGAGAAAGGGGACATTGCCTATCTAAAGTTTACAGCTTTGTTTCACATATTTGAGGGCATGTACTGTTCAGTAGAAATTTGTACTGAAATGTTGTTTTACTTATGTCTTTATGACATACAATATACCAATGATTAAATTGACATGGCCTTAATTTGCATTGGATAAATGTTTTGGTTATTGTGAGTGTACATTATCATAACAAGTGTTTGTAAGAGGCTACCGCGTAATGTTTTACATTAATAAGTCATTTGTTTAAAGCACAATTTTTCTTAACCCTTTCATTTTAATTACTTAAGACTTTAGGCAAGATTATATTCTTCTTCACACCTTGGTTTATGTTATAGATTTTGGCTAATTAAAAAAAAATATAAACTTAAATGCACTCATTGACTACAAATTACCATTATGTAAATGGACCTAAACAATCCCATTTCTGGAAAAAAAAGAAGTAAAAAATACAATCACCAACTTTATTTAATAAGATCGTCATTTGACTGTTACTTATTTTCAAGTATATAAAAAAGCATTTAGTAAAAGTTGCCATCTTATTCATCGGCATATGTCTTTATACAGTCAGATGAGTGCGTTGAATGGAAAATGGAGCATAAAGTAATAGTGTAACTCATGAATTTTTTTTCTTGTCCCTCACAAACTTGTGTTTAATTTTCTGGTTTGACCAAGAGTTGTTTACTTTTCTGTTTGTTGAAATTTCAATATGTTTTGAGGGCAAATGTTTTTGATTGCATGGTGACTGTTGATAGTATGATTTTGCTTAGGGAATTTGAAATGCTCTTGCAGACATTGTTCTTTCTGATTTGAAAACGAGAAAGATTAAACAGGCTCTCATTCTTTTGTCACTTTTTTTAAGAGCATAGTTTCCCCCCTCTTTGAATAACAAGCAATGATGGCAGAATATCCACAAGCTAATTTTAAAAAAACACTCACAGGGACACAGGAGCGTATGTAGAAGCATGTAGACCGAACACTAATAGTCTTATAAGACCACAACCTTTGAAGGGCGAGGGCTAAAATACAGAATAACCAGCGACCAGGCGCAAACGCAAAAAAACAAAGAGCGTTTCCCTTCTAGGCTTCCGTAGAAGACCCACGACTGCGTTAGCTTTTGCCGCCTGCTGCACTGCTGCATACGAGATAAAGGGAAAGCTGACCGCGTGGTTAGAAGACATTACTGAAACAGCTCCTCTTTGTTTTAAAGGTGCGTATGCAAAAAATAATTCATTTCATACAATGTTAATGCCAACATCTGTCGTAATTTTTAATCGTTTGATCTAGGCAAGCAAACGATAGCTTTCTTTTGCAACTTGGACCTTGTGGCAGGAAACGCAGTTTACGCAGAAAGTAAGCCATAACGTTACGTTACCTCAACAACTATACTATTTAAGCCTGGCTACACGAGTACACTGTTAGTGTATGCTAAGCGCACTGCAATGCTATGGCTAAGTTACAAGAATATTAGCTAACAGCTAAGCTAGCGAAAAGTAGACGTTTGTATTTCAGGATTTTGTTGCCTCCTTGGGCCTTGTAGCATTTTTACCCTGGCGAGTTTGGCATTAATCGTAATTTGCTTATTGAAAATGTTAAGTTGTTTCTTGACACCACTTTTCGTAATCGATGCTTGCTTTTCTCAAGACAAAGTAAAGTCAAATAAATGTTCTCTACCACCCGGGCCTAAAATAGTCTAACCAAGCTAGAGTTAGTTAGCTCGTAGGCTAACCTACATACCGTTATGTTGTGATGTGGCTAGCTTCGCATATTCTTTTGCACAACGCGTAGATGACTTGGTTGGTAACTTAGCAATAGTATGTATGTGTACGTGTTTATTTTCATATAAGCTACTTTATACTTATTAGTTATAATAAAAGTTTTTACCACAATATGGTTTACGGCCCCTTGATCTATGAATGAGTTGGAGCTTGTTCGTCTCGCCATTCTTCCTTTCAACTTACTGTGGTTAAGAGCAGTAGCTCTATGCATGTGCCATGTGAATTATTGGGATGGCGTTGCAAGATAATTTTAAACAATTTAAGTTCTCACGCTCTTTGTTTTTAGTGCACAACATGGGCAAGAAGCAGAATACCAAGGGCAAGAAAGATGCAATGGACACACAGGAGGAGCCTGAGGAGTTTGTGGTGGAAAAAGTACTTGACCAACGTATTGCCAATGGAAAAGTTGAATTCTTCCTGAAGTGGAAAGGATTTACAGAGTAAGTTGCCTGGGACACCTGCTTCCCTGGTATGGGGTTGTGCTATGCTTTTGTCCACAGTTACATTTTTAGTTGCACGAATAAGCTGCCCGTTCTGCATTGAAGCTTATTGAATTCATTGTCTGCATCTGAATGCATTCAAAGTGAAGGTGTGCATATGGTAACCCCCTCCATCCCTGCTGATTTAGGGCCGATAATACCTGGGAGCCAGAGGATAACCTGGATTGTCCAGAGCTGATCTCAGCATTTTTAGAAGCACAGAAGAACGTTAAGGAGAAGCCTGCGCCTGTGAAGCGGAAGGCATCAACAGACGAGCCGGAGACGGAAGCCAAGAAGAAAGATGTGGTGAGTTAACTTACCATGCCGGTCCAACCCACATTTTACCTGAGACACAACAGAAATGATCTGTTGATTACCTTGGGTGTCGCATGTAAACATTAACTTGTTTAGACCACCCAGAAATTCTCATAATACTTGTTGTCGTCCACTTAGGCTGAGAAACCACGAGGCTTCGCTAGGAATCTCGACCCAGAACGGATCATTGGCGCAACAGACAGCAGCGGGGAGTTGATGTTCTTGATGAAATGGTGAGCAGAGAAGAAATTAGCCCTCTTTATGTGCACTGCTCAAACTGTAATCATTTTTTCACTTGAATCATTAAATGGTCCCTTCTGTAAATCCCTTTATTATTAGGGATATACTCTGGCTTGATGTCCCCCAGAGATGATTCAAGTAAACAAGGGTCCACAGTTGCCATAATGTTTGTCTCCCCCTTTGTCCTCCTTCTTTAGGAAAGACTCAGATGAAGCTGATTTGGTCCCAGCCCGTGAGGCCAATACTCGCTGCCCTCAGGTGGTCATTTCCTTCTATGAGGAGAGATTGACATGGCATTCCTGTCCAGAGGATGAGGCTCAGTAATACCGTCCTCTGGTCCCCCTGCAGTCCCTTCACACCCGTTTCCTCAGGACTGAGTTTTCGTCTCTTGCTTGCCTTTTAGTTTTAGCCGTCTTAGTTATTTTTGAAGATGTTTCAGCCCTCGCGTTGTATGGCTGTCAAGGAGAGCTAAATTGTTGTATATATTAGCTGAACTGATTGTAAGGGAGCAGCAGCAGCAGGTGGTGATGTAATGAAAGAAGTCTTCCGGTATCATATAATGATTGATGTGATGGCAGTTTAGAAAATATATTCTTTGATCGAACCCAGAACCGCTCGTATTCAAACCTGGTCAAATTTTGTATATTCTAAATGGTACTTTGTTCTGTGACGGTGTCGGCCACCTCTTCTTTATCAATCTACTGTTCTTTTTGTTTTCTACACTAGTGCTATTGTTTTGTTCTAAAAGTGCATTTTGTATACTCTGTCTGTAAATATTATTTGAAGTTCTAATAAAGGTTTTATGTGACCAAATTCTTCTGCTTATTTGTTATGGTGGCAATGAAATGTCTAAAATACATATGTAGATTTAGCTATACAAGTTGGATTTTTACAACTTGATTTGTTTTTAGTCAAGATGATTGGTTGAAATGTTGACTAATTAGAGCTTGTGTGTTGATGGTAGTGTTTGAAACATGGAACTGGGTTTATGATTTGGTTAAGCTTTCAAGTTAAACATTTTGTTAGTCTTATATTCATCACTGTGGTGGGAACACCGTGACCCAGCACTATGAAAGCTATAGAGATGAGAATATATCCTGTTAAAACAGTGCATACTGTACTGTACTTTAACTTCTCTACCTGATTGAGGTTAATAAGTACTTTTACTCGTGTATATAGTCTCTCAGCACAGTTTTTAGCAACAACACTTAGGCATTTTGATTTTAGAGACGTACTTTTATTCTCCTACATGCAGCCCTTACCAGTTCATTTGTACACAAAGAAAATGAGAAGCTCAATAATCACGAGGCCAGTCCCTCTTCGCTTACTTCAAAATTTAAAAAAAAAAGATTCTAAATGCAAGACTTTTCTTATTTTGTGACTATCTTTTCATTGTGGCATTGCCACTTTTAACTGAGTAAATATTTTCAACCGTCTGCCAATCTGTGGTGACACTCTAATATCATTAAAGCTCAGCTCTACCTTTATTAAACTGCTGAGTTCAGCAGTGATGGGTCTCTCTCGGGCCATGTCGCCAGATGGCAGGACTACAGCAGCGTGGAGAACAGACTCATGACTGGCATTAGGGTACGGGACATGGACTTTGGGCCTTTTGTGCTTTAGTGTAGATTAAGTTTCTGTGGAAATAAGAGTTTTTGGTTTCTGTAGAAAAATCCCTCATGACACTTCCCTATACAGACAAAGTAAATTAGACTTCATCAAAAAATGCTGATTAGGAATTTGCTTTTACTTTCTTCCTGATACAAAGACCCTACTAGAAATGAATCCTTTCAGGAAAAATGTATTAATTCCCACATCAAAGTGGACTTATAGTGGCAAACAGACAGGTTTATACAATATTTAGCAAATTAAGTCAATGGGACATCTTAAATTTGTAATACCTTGACTAAGTCGAACCTCTTATCAGTTCAGCACAGTCATCATTTACGTGCTAATCTCAGATGATCACATAACAATTTACAACTACACATGACATCTCTACAGCACATGATGGTTGTCTATAGTCCAGATCACAGAGCAGTTCCCTGAGTCAGCATTTTTTTCTTCAGAATTTTAGGAATTGCATTTATTAGCTATAACCAGACAACTGGATTATCTAGAGAGACTGAAATACTTTATCTGCTGACTTGTCCAAAGGTAAAGAACCCTTTATATGCAAATGAGCAGAAGATAGCCCCCCCCCCTTTTTTTTTAAACTATCACCAGGGGTAGAAGAATTTTAGGCCACATCTCACAAATTATGTTCCACTCCTGGGCTGGATAGGATGTTGGAATAGGACTTCAAAGACTTTGGTAAGTTATGTTTTTCTTAAATCTAAACTGTAATTTGAGGCAATATGTGCTCAAAGTGCGATATTATTCTTTCCATCATGATTGTGATCTGGGGTGTGGCCTGGAATTTACATTGATTTGGGATTGTTTTGGGTAAGGAGAGCAACATTGCTGTTGTCAGACTTGATGATACAGTAAAAGTGACTCTTATATTTTAAATATTTGATGCTTTGCCAATGTGAGAGAATGCTGAATTGAGAGTGAAACTGAAAATCCTGAATAACAATAGAATGTTCCTGAATAAGCTTTGGACCTTTTGAATCTATACTGTGTTGCAGTTACCTCTTTTTGCAATAGGACATGCAGCAAACTACTCCAGCAACGAGGGCAATCTGCAAAAAATCACCATGCATTTCTAAATCTCGTGCAGGGTCGTAGCATTCCCTTTCTTGTATTGTGGATGACCGGAGCTACACTCTTTTAATATGTATTTATAGGCTAATCAGGCATGGGCAGTAAAGAGTTTTTGTCACTGTCATAACTTTCTCTTCTATTATGGTCGGTTGTGAATATCATTGTTGGGTGTCGCTCAGTGGAGAATTGAACTAGAAGAAGATAAGGTTAAAGGTCACCATATTGTTTTAGTAATAAAAATGTCCTTTTGGATTCCACATGAACTTATATAATAATATAATGTAAAATGATGGATTCTGCTGGCTCCGAGAAACCAGAAATAAAATCTGCAAGTAGGTTCTTGAAATTTTTACATTTTCTTTTATTCTGTTAAATGTTTAGTCTGTTAATAACATTTCATTTTTAGAGACTTCTCCACACTGCCCATAATACAAGTATGGTTGACCAAACAGTCTTCAAATAGCCAATACAGTCTGAAAAAAATACTGGAATCATAATGTGTAAATGTATATTTGGATAACAATTCCTCCAGGTTGCTAAAACTCCCAAATCCACAGAAAAAAACACAGGACATAAACAAGTCTACAATTATTTTTTTTTAATTGAAACTTTATAAGGAAAAAAAACTGAATGAACAACAGAGACAATTTATTTTGTTCTGAGATAGACAAAGATTTGGTTTCGTTGTACACTTGTTAGTGGGCAAGGCTTAAGGCTTGAGTTCAAGGCTTACTTTTGGTTTACGGTTTAGATTGGCAAAATAAAAAAGAAAGCTTTAAATCCTCAATGCCTTTAGTACTTATTGCCTATCAATATGATGGTGAATTTATTATCTGAGGTCAAATCCAGTTTTATTGATATTATCTGAGGTTTTAAGCGGTTGTTCACCAGTCTGTTACTTTCAACCACATCAATGGTATCACCTCCTCCCACCAGGTGATACCATTTAAGACTGATCACCAAAGAATTAGGGACAGGTGCGCATTGAGGACACAGCACGTTTCATTAAGAGGGCTAATATTGGTTGTCGGTGTGGCGGAGTTTTTTTTCACGACATTTTATTTTGTGTCTATTTTGTAATGATATGGACTGTAAAGGACTGAAAACACGTGACCAAGCACCGAGTCAGAGGTCGCACTGAGTGTTTTGTATTAGCAGCAGCAGTAGTTCAGTTCAGGCAGTGCTGAGCCTCAAGCCATCCCACTGAGCTGCTCCCGTTTGCCCTGAAACACCGGATTACTGCACGGACAGTGAACACGGGAAAGGTAGGCTGAAATCTGAATGTTTGTTTTGTAGACATTTATTGTAGTTCTGGCAGAATCTGCTATTCTCCCAAAGGCAGTTGAAACGTTGGAGCTTCATTACATCATAATCTAACTCGCAAGATGTTTAATACAAGTATCAATTAAAAAAAAATATATATTTTTATAGTCATGTTTTGAATGGATTGGTAGTTACTCATTGGCTATTTAGTTTAGTTTTATATGACAGTATATTAACATGGCATCACCTTAATTTGTATTTAATATACATAGCCTGCCTGGGTTCTGTGGAGATGCTGTTATAAACTTTACAGGTATGTAGATGAGATCATAAAAGATGGCAGTGTTACTGCCATGAACAATACCATGCAGTCAATAGGACCTCCTTATAGGGTAGGTCCAATTAGTTTGAGTGGCCTATGATTTCATGTAATGTTTTCAGAATGTCAGTATGGATCAAAGTCACTCTATGAGGTCACCTCGGGACTTTGTTTGTAGGCTACTTATTGATTTGATTGGCTCTGCTTGGACTTGGTACTTGTGAATGACTTGTCTCATTGAGGTGTCTATAGGGGCAGATGATCTCCTTTAGAAAAGCCTGTCATGTGAGGGGACACTGTTGTAGTATCTTATGGAAAAGCTGCATGCCACGGTTGAACATCCATGCAGTCACTTATCTAACAAGAAAATGGTGTTTCAGCAAATTTGCTTTGTGTGAAAATTTTGAAACTTATTTTTTACACTTTAATCAGAATAGCTATAGTTATTTGGTGACTGGGCAAATAGCTGGGATTGCCTGTATCTCTTCCTGTTGTGGCACAGAACAGGATTTCTTTTGTTTCAAAATCTTTTGGTGTGAGTTTCCGTATTAAAGTGTTTTGGGTCAAGATTTCCCCTTAAGCTAAATCCTCCTTGCCCTTTGCTCCCCTTCAACCTATCCATTCCAAATGTTTGCAATTTGAGTCCTTAAAGTATTAATCACCAGCCAAAACCGATCTAGCATTGAAAACAAAGGACTATTGGCATTAATTAGTGCATTCAATGTTTTACTGTTCTTTATTGTTTGTGCTGTCTTCATGAACATGTAACATTTAACAGAAATCACCTTTTTTATTTATTTTTAATTACTCTTTTCACATGGGTCATGACAGGCAATTGTAAGCTAGTTTTGTGCTAACATAAGTTTGATCAGATCACTTTCAATACTCTTATTTTTTTTTCTTCCTCTATCTCTGGCAGGTCTTTGTACCAACAATGGACGGTATGCTGCACAATCTGTCAGTCTGTCAAAAAGTAAGTGGTCAAGAATGTGCCTCACTTTCTTGTCCATTTGTGCAGTCGCAACTGATTTGACATTTTGATCATGTCCCAAAGTTGAGGACCGGTGGAAAATGGTGTTGCTGAAACGCATCTTGTGTTTTTAATTTTAATACTTGTGAATCTTTGCAACTCTGTCATTTAATGTGATCCTGGAAATTTGCAGGAGTTTATCAGTGTTTGTGTTCGGGAGCCGAGGCTTCTTAAAGATGACCTCTGGCAAACGCACGTCGACTACGAGATCTGTATACAAGTGAGAATTGTTTTTTTTTGGGGGGTGGGTCGGGGTGAATTTTGACTTTGTACTAAGTCTATTGAATTGCTGTCTCTCCTTGCAGACCAATAGCATGTGCTTTCGAAAGAAGACTTCCTATGTTAGACGGTGTTACAGTGAGTTTGTTTGGCTGCGTCATTGTCTGGAACAGAATGCTCTAATCATGTATGTTCACAAGTTTGTACCTCAGATTCATATAATTTATTTACATGTTGGCTTTAATCAGTTTGATGCCCATTGTATCTGACTTAAATAAGCATGCAGTAAGTTTTCCGTAAGTGCTTTTTCTTTGCTCTCTGTCCAGGGAGTTACCCAAGTTGCCGCCCTGGAATCCCTTCTTCAGCCTGAAGAACACAGAGCAGGTCACACAGAGGATGAAGGGCTTCCAGGAGTTTTTAGAAAGGTGAGTTGCACCTAGTGGTACCCATTCACACCCCAGTCTCTTCACAAGGCTGTTAAGCATTAATCTGCTAAAAGCAAGAGCACTATAAGACCCTGAGGGTGACCTTGATCTGCACTATTTCAACTATTTTCAAATGTCTACATTCACTCTTTGAAATTGTGCCATTAAAATCCTTCCTTCTCCAGTGTTCTTCACGCGCCTTTTTTGTTATCGGACAGTCGACTCCATCTGTTCCTCCAGTCAGACCTGAGCATCACAAAGATGGCAAGGTGTGCTCTTGGTAAGACCAGGTACACAGTGGCTGAAGCCATTCAGCGATCCAGCAGCGGTTGCATCAGCAGATTGGTGGACCAGGCCACCTGTGACTCTGACTGTGAAAGGTACGAGTTTGACAAAATAGTTGCATGTTTTTAAAAAAAAAAAAAAAAAAAAATAGCTTTCAATCTCTGATGCTGAATTGACCTCTTATGCCTTTCCTCCCACTGCAGCACTTCTTCGTCAGGCTTGGGACTAAGCGTGGACACTGAAGTGCGAGGAAGCCCCATCTCCTTCCTAGAGTTCTGACAGAGACCCAGAGCTGTTCAGCTGTCTTCAGAACTCCTTACCACTCATTGCGCCCTGACACACAGCAGTTGTGCTTAATTAACCGGTTTGTGATACTACATGACGCTATTGCTTTCCCTAGTTAACTTCCAAAGAGTGAAAAATGTTATTTTACATTTTTGTTAACTTTATTATTCCCCTTTGGATATTTGTTTTAATAATTTGCTTTAGTTTTCTCTTTAAAGCATTATCATGGTAATTTAAATTGATTTGCTTGAAAAAAATGTTTTAAGAAAATGTAGAGTAAACATTTAAAAATGGGGATTTCTTAAATATTTACAATGTGTATATATTTTTATCTTCCCTGAAACTGTACTGATGTTAGCAAGGGATGAACTTTAAATTGTAGACTGGATTTTTAGAAAAATATTTCAATGCTTTTCTGATTTGTAAAAGCATGAATAAATTGTCATTTTTGAAATATTATCTGTGTTTTTCGTATATACTATTGAATTTGGTCAGCACTTACTTTTGTTGGACCTTGAAATGGAACTGAATTCAATGAAACAGTCCTGCTTTTTTGTAAAAGCCCAGTAGAGGGAGTGTAGACATCACAGGACATCAAACTACTGTGTAAATGCGGTACGGGGATGTAAGTCTATAATGCTTGATTTACACTGTAGTTGTGTGCTGATCATTGGTGTAATTTTAAAGTTATCTTTATGCCTACACTTTCAACAAAAGCGAACATTACAACCTTGGACGAAGGCAAGATTTACTGCAGGGTTGTTAAGATTAGTGTATCCAACAAACTGGGTGTATCTAACAAATTCTTCCAGTTGTAGTGCCCTTTGCTGCTCTTGTCAAGCTGGAATCTTGCTATTGTAGGTGTCAAATGCTATCTATCAAGTGTGTGTTGGATTGTAAACGTCTTCCATGTTGAGATTGAGTAGAAAGAGGCCCATTGTTGGTCACATTTCATCCCTGTGTCACTTTTGTCCCAGGTCGGATGGTCTAATTAAAGGACAGCAAATTAATTTAACTATTACCGACTCTTGGGAATCACCTGCAAGAAACAAGACTGCTTCAAACTGTGTCTCTGTGTGTGTGTGTGTGTGTGTGTTACAGGGAAGGGGGCAGTGCAAGAGTGCAGGACAGCCCTGTAAATTGAAAGCTGATGAAAGAAGTGAAGGCTCATTAAAAAAGACAGCAGCTGTCCTTGCACACCCCTCCCTCCACCCAAGTGCTGGACTGACATGGACCGGCCCAATGGTAAACCCGGCCTGTCCCAGTCTCTGTCCTCTGCTCTCCTTCCCCTGGATGGTACTGTCTCCCTGTGCGCACAGGCCATAATGAAGCTGTCAGTGACTTCACACACCAGCCACTGAGCTGTATTCATCTGCCGAACACCGGCCAGAGACATAGATACACACTGACAGCTGTGAGCACAAATGCACACAAATATATTCTGTATACACTGGTGGGAAAGCTGTGGATGAATGAACACTTTCTCTTCAGAGTCCCACTGGTTTGTGGTTTGAACTCTCCATCTCCGTTAAGGTTTGACCTTATCAACATACCTCATGACAGCACGACACACGCACATAAACACACATTAACTGTTTGGTTCGCAGCCAGTCAATTTTCTGTCAAAAGGCAATGAAATCTCAAGTGGTGGCTTCTTGTGTTTTTTTTTTGTTTTTTTTGTGTGCATGCACGCATCTGCCTTTTTGTAGCGGAGAACGTCTAGCATTTGGATATTGAGTATTCAAGGAACATGTCTATTTCAGCTCTGTAATTTATAACTCAATTTCCAGTGTGCATTGATGCGCTTCATACCTCCAAAACACCAAACAAAGCCCAAACCCAATTGTATTTCAAAGCAATTAGGGTGTCCACTGAGTTGTGAACGGCCCACGTTGTGGTGGCTCTGGGCCCGTGTGATATTTTTAATTGTTAATTTTCTGTCACATTAGTCAACTTCGGTGCCTCTGGACAGGTGACCGAGCTCCTGTAGGCAACACATAAAATGACACAGAACATCTGTTTTTTGATGCAGCATAGTGGATGGTGTTTTTATGACCTGGGGGGGAAAAGGTTCCGCTGTACGTGACGAGTTAAATGACGAGACGGTATATCATATTTACAGCAGTTTAATGGTAGGAATCTTTCTAATGCTTTTCAATATGTGTGGTGGCTGTCAATATTAGTATTCGTTTACGAGTCTAAATTATTAGCTCATTTAGACTTTCACCTGAAGCCACCACAGGGAATTGCTTCACCTCCTTGACCTTACAAAAGCCAACAATGGCAAAATCTATACGAGCAATTATTTTGTGTGACTCTCTGCCCCTGCACTTATTTTTGCTCCCATAGTCTCTTTCCACCTCTCTTCCTCTTCACTCTTTAATTCCCTCTCTCTCTCAGCCCGCATCATCTCTCAGAAGACTAAGTTAATTAGCTGTTCTCTTTTGTAGTTTTTTTTTGCTGACGCTGCAGGTCCCGGCTCACTGCATCTCGGCTGTCTAATTGTTGAGGAAGGAGACCTGGGTCTCGACCTTGCAGCCGGCTCCCCTTCCTAGCTACTCTCTTTTGCGCCGCGCGACGGGAGGGGTCAAAGGTGACGACTTGCATTGTATCTGTGATTATTACCTCTAAAGTGCTATTGCATAGAGCATCATTAAAAGTCGATGCATCTCCCTCTTCCCCACCATCACACGGCTAAAACACACACACACACTCATTTTGCACGCACTCCGCACATCGCCAGCCATTTAACAGCTAAAATACGACCCGATGCGCAGATAAATGTCACAGGGCCATCTATCTGCGAGTGTTAAAAGTCGGCTAATGGAGATGACATATTAGCGGCCCAAATGACGGCCATAAAAACTCCCACCATACCTTGCAGCGCCGCCCGGCCGCTGTGACTGCAATAGGATACGGCACTGGCACTGCAACTATGCGTCTGCAGAAAGACGGAGAGGAATGGAGGGTGATGTCATATCGAGATGGAGTTCTTTTGATTCAATATATTCTGCGGCTGTCAGGTCTTTGAAGCAATGATTGGGGGAATAACGACTCTAAGACAGATGGGGCATATTTACTGAGGGCCACAGTGTAATGCAGTATCACACGCACTCTACATAACACTTCTGATGTAATGCTAATGACCTCTCACCTTTGACCTCTCTCAGAGTAGTCGGTCAGAAAATATGAACCAGTGAACGACTGTGTGTGTGTGTGTGTGTGTGTCAACAGCATACTGCCACTACAATCAATACCACGCTCCAATCCTACTTGAAGATCCTCCACAGGTATGCGTTCACCTCCTTTCCTCCCTCATCCCTCCTATCTCTTTATTAATTACCCTTCTCTATCCATGCGTGTCTTTCTCTGAGTGAATGGAGCAGTTGTAATTGCTTCTCTCTGGAGCAGTTAGAAGCGGCACAAAGGAACCGTATAGAAACCACATTTGCATTCAAGATGAGCTGAGATGGAGAGGAGGGAGGGAGCACTGCCCTCCTGCCCTATACTGAGC